ATATATATATTATAAAATAATAATATGGTTTAAAAATACAGTACAAAATTATATAACAAACTGAATAAACTTAAATATATTTAAATATTCAGATAATTATTCACTCTGTTTTCTGAGTGGTTGCTAGGGCTCAGGTTCCTCCTTCAATGTAACCTATGCGCTCTTTTCCCCAATTTTATCATCCTCCAGTCAAAAACAATGACTGAGTCAAGTAACAGAGGAATCATTCATGTCAAGCGGTGCGGCTCGAATTATGTGCCAGAGTTTAATAATCACGGTCAGGGTTTTGTTTTAAATCTCTAACCCTCGGGAAGAGCAACAGTGATACTCTCCTTAGCAAACACCGCTAATTACTGTATGTATTTAATCCATTTTACACTTTCCTGCAGTTGGAGCATAAACTCGGTACAGAGCAAATAATTCACTCAATCCGCCCCTCAATACTCACGCCGTCGGAGCATGAACACGGACAGACGGCTCTGGAATTTCAAACAGGTTATTAAACAGCTCTGGCTTTTGTTTTTTGAGCTGGTTTAAAAAACCTAATTCAGATGACTGCTTCTGGAATATATATTGGCTAGTCGCATCTCTGCGGAGAAACAAAAGGTGTATAATAACAGAACAATTAAATTAACCAGGGACGTAATTAAGGTGTTTGTTTGGCTGAGAGCGGTTTTATATTTAATAGAATCGCTGGAGAAGCTGCTGGAGTGATGATATTGCTCGTCACATTTAATCACATCTCTGCGGCAGCTGTCAATCACGCCGCATCCGGCGGAATAAATGAATGCGGCGCTGGCATTAGCATATGCTGAGCGGTCTCCAGAGAGAAGAGACAATCAGAGAGCAGAGACGCCCGCTGTGACTAGCGCTCTCTCACACCTGTTGGTCTTCCAGATGTGTATGGTTTCCTCGTCTACGTTCTCGTGTCTGAGGGCTTGCTCATCCAGGAAGTCGAAAAAGTATTTAACTGCTGGCGGGACGGCGGCGCCAGAACAGAGCACACTGCGAAAGAAATCATCCACGAACTGCTGCAGCGTTCCCTGAAAACACACACAGACACAAAAACAAGGTAATTAGAGTTTAGCAGTTTGAGATGCGTTTTGTTTTAAAAGTGCTGTAAGTGGGGGTTTTTTCCCCAAGCATAAAATGTTTCTTCTAACTCACTAAAATTCTCTCTAACTGTCCTGGGCTTTCGAAAAAGTAAAAAAATATATAAAAATCTTTCACATATTTGATGACATGAACCTTGATTTCTTTTTTTATTATTTCAAATTAATGTATTTATTATAATTTTCTTATCTAAGGTTATAATATTTTATATATATGTATATATAAACACACACACACATATATATACAGTATATATACATATTCAGGTGCATCTCAAAAAATTTGAATATTTTGTAACTTTCAAAAAGTTAAACTTTCATATATTCTAGATTCATTACATGTAAAGTGAAACATTTCAAAAGTTTTTTGTATTCATTTTGATGATTAGAGCTTACAGCTTATGAAAGTCAACTAACTGACTTTTTTGACAACCCCAATAAAAACACAAATCATATAATTATTATTAAATTACTACAAAAAATTATGAAAATGTACAACATCATGTAAAATGTAAAAAATATCAAATAATAAATTATATATCAAATAAAAATTGAATTTATAATAATATATATACATAATTTATGTTTTTATTGAAATATTTAAAAATATATATTTTTTATGTTATACTGAGTTAAATATATAACAAAAATTTGTTTTTTTTTTCACTTCAAATAAGTTATTAGAGGTTCAGGTGACAGAAACGCTTAAAAACCCTTGATGCAAGTTATACAACCTGAGCCCTGAAACATAACACAGATCTTTAAAAAAAACACGCAGAAAAACATCTAATTTCTTCACACGTCAGCCTGCTGGGTCACTGACAGTCACACATGGCTGTTTTCACGCTTTGATCGGCCTGACGGGTGAAGTTACACGCTCATCTCCACTACGCTTTGTTTCTGTCGGCACTGCCGCTGAATCACTTCTGTACGAGGTGAAAGACTTGCGAGGTAATTAGCCTCTCTAATCGCCCAATTTACGCCGAACGGCCTCTGACACAAGGACATGCGACGAACCAATCAAACAGAATTAGATTTACACGTCGTGACTCGTGACTTAAGAGAACATGCCAGCACTCAGAATACTTCCTGGAGGTTTATGGAGGTTATAATAATTATATGACACACGTCCCACATTAAATACTGCTGGAGAATTGGATTGTTCATTACCAACATTAAATCACCAATGATTATGCACCGTTGTCATCTTCCAACAAAATGTAATAATTTCTTAATCAGTTATTGTATTTTTTTCATTGAAATGATGTATAATACAAGATACTGTAAATGTACATCTTTTTAGATAATACAGTCTGTATTATCAAATTAATTTTTCATACTTTTTACAAATTTGTAAGCAAAAATCTAACAATTTATTTATGCTTTGTTCAAATTCAAGATATATTTTATGAAGAGAAGTCTTCATTTCTCACGCAATATAGCGGACCCTGAATGGCAAGTTAAAAAAAGATCAATATATTAATTCAAAAATATAAATAATAATTTAATTGATTGAAAATTTCAAATAAGTAAAGTTTTAAAAAATATAATATATTTTAATATAATATATTTTTTAAATGTCTATTAGTTATCAATTTGAAATGTATTTCATTTTAATTAATAAATAGCATATTTATTAATTTCAATCATATTTATGTATTCATATTTATTTCTTCATTTTATTTTTAAGTGGCACTCTCAGTCTTCTATCAATGCAATGTGGCTTCTGACATAAATGTTCTAAACATTTTATTAATCGTTTTAAAATAATTACAAATATTTTAATATTTTAATATAATGTAATATCTTTATCTCTAAAATGTATTTTCTATTGATGTAAACAAGACCACAAAAGATTTTTCAATGATATAAAAAAAAACCAAATGAAAAAATGACCACAATCCAATCAAATCTGGATAAAATCCAGTGTTATTTTAGCATCATTGATATACTAATATATTTTGAATTACATTTTATTTTTATTTTAAATTTTTTAGTAATTTCGTTGTGCATTTCTCTCATGTTTTTTAATGTTTAATTTTTAATGTGTCTATATAGTTATCATACATTTTTTGAATAGGTTTTAGTTTATTTAAAGTTATTTTAGTACTTTAAATGAAAATGAGAAATGATGCCTTGATAACTAGCTGAAAAAAAAAATAAATAAATATATGTGCTGTCAAACGATTAATCGCATTCAAAATAAGTTTTTGTTTACATAATATATGTGTGTGTACTGTGTATATTTATTATGTATATATAAATACAAACACATGCATGTATATATTTAAGAAAAATATATTATGTTTATATATTAAATATATTTATAAATAATATAAATAAGAATATACATATATGTATGTGTATTTATATGTATATGTGTGTATTTATATATACATAATATATTTACACAACACGCACACATATATTATGTAAACAATGTATGCGATTAATCGTTTGACAGCACTGAAATAAATAAATAAATAATTAATATTTATTTCTTTGATTTGATTTCAGTTAACCTTTATTTTGTTTCAGGTAGCATTTTTTCTTTAAGGTTTTAGTTTTAATTAACAACAACAACCCTGATAAAACCAAGTCCCACCCTACATGATTAATTACATTTATTAATTAAACACAAATTATGTAAGTGAAATGTAACTTTTTCTAAAGGCGAATGAACAGACAGCAGTTGAGTTAGTGAGAGGAAGAGCTCAGTACCTTGACGGAGAGCAGTCGGGTGAGATAGATCTCAGTGATGGCTTTGGTCATGGATTTGTCCTTTATACTGCCTCTCTTAGATTTCATCTCATCCAGCTCATCGGCCGGTCGCACCAGGTGAAAAACTTTATCATCCTCCAGCAGGGCGTTTCCTGTGAGTTCAGGTGAAGAGAGTGTATAAGTGACAGTGACAGATCACACTTAGAAAGCAGACTTGCACTCACTCTCTTCATGGTTATCGTGATTTTGCTCGTACGGCTGTTGTGTGTGCTGAACTCTGGAAAGGACCACCGTTGCATTATCACGTACCTAAAACCACACGAAAGTCATGTTTAAGAACAAGAAATGACACTCGCGTCTTCACTGAAGCAAAAATTCCCAACCCATGCACTCACGTTATAATGCGCCAGCGTATTGATGCGTCTCCACCTGCCCTCCTTCTGTGACGTCACGTCTAGATCTGACAGGATCTGTCCCGTGGAGCCGGGCCGCCATTCTGTGGAAGAGACCAGAAGACGTGAAGATGAAGAAGGTGTGGTGCTGCATGTGAAATCATAACGCTTGCTCACCGAGGGTGACGCCGTCTACTTTGGGTCTCTGAGAGTGCGGCAGGTTTTTGGACACCTGCTCGATGATCTTCTCCTTCACCTGAGAGATGGTGTCACAGTTCAGCACCTTCACGGGGGTGATGTCCGGCCCCTCGCCCTGAACCAGCACCTGCAGCGTCTGCCGGCACACAGAAAATACTGCTCGGTTATGAGCTGACAAAACCTGCTCTGGTAAAACAACGTGAACATAAAGTGGCTGTATGTTATATATATCTGAATATAATCTATAAAAAAAAGTTAAAATATAATATATTAAAATAAAGCAATTAAGCCCCAAGAAGCCGTGGTTTACAGTGGATTTATAACAGCTAAGGGGCGTTGTTAGGCACGACGCGAAGAGGTTATAAAATCACTGTAAACCACGGCTTCACGGGGCTTATTGCTTTTATAAAACGGTTATTCCATATACGTAGTTAGGTTTCACAAAATAAAACAGAGCAAATAAAGTGTAATGATATAAATAAAAACAGTATTCTTCCACCAAACAATGTAGTTCCTCAGAAACAGTTGTGGTTGCAACAAAGTGGTTGCCGAACAACACACAGAAGTAAACAAAGGTGTGTGTTTGTAGAGTAATTTACAACAGCTTCGAACGCGGCTCAGCCAATCAGAATCAAGGACCGGAACTATCCGTTTTATAATATGTATTAGGGATGCACTGATAACACTTTTCCATAACAAGTACGATATCAATACTTTCATTTTTGGTACTTGCCGATACCAATTACAGCTACCTGTTTATTTATTGCAATTTTTTTTTTTTTTTTTAATATTGGGTAGAGAAACCAAAAGATATGAATCATATCAGTTGGCTTATATTGATATATTGTTTAATAAATAGATGTTCCTTTACTAATTTTCACACTTAATTATGTGTGGGATGAATGTGGGAATATATCAAAAATATTATTTACAAGAATTTATATATATATATATATATATATATATATATAATTAACAGTATGAATATTATATTTATAAATTAGAAATAGAATGTACATTTTATAACAAATTTGTATATAAACAATGATTTCATATATAATTTTATAATAAAGTTTTCATATAATTTTATATATATATAATTCAATATTATATATATATATACAGTGGGGCAAATAAGTATTTGATACACTGCTGATTTTTCAAGTTTTCCCACTTACAAAGAATGGAGAGATCTGTAATTTTCAACTGTGAGAGACAGAATCAAAAAAAAAATCCAGAAAATCACATTGTATGATTTTTAAATAATTAATTTCCATTTTATTGCATGACTTGAAAAATCGGCAGTGTATCAAATACTTATTTGCCCCACTATATATATACACACACACAATTTAACACTATAAATATTATATTTATGAATTATAAATATAATTTAAATTTGTATTATACATTTATATATAAACATTTATATTAATTTCATAATAAATTCATATAATAAAATTCATTAATTTTATTACATTATTAGATTACTATTATTATTACCATACCATAATTTTTTCCTTATTTATACAGTATATAATTCATACTATAAATATTAATGTATTTTATAGAGAGATATAGATACATAATCTTTCATTTACATTATATTTGCAGTATATAAATATATTATACATATTTACAATAAATTTGTAATAAATGTATATAATATAATCTGATATATAATAAATGATTATGATTTATTATGAATATAATCAATGATTTTTATTATATTAATTAGTTTTATTCCATTATTATATTGTTTTCGCTCATTTATTCAAACTGCTTTTTATTAATTCTACTGTAGGAAATTATATGAATGTACATTAGATATGTTTTTATCTAAAATTTAAATAACTATCATTCTCATCTTTTTGTTGTAGTAGCACCAAAAACAAAAAAAACATCTCCAGGGAATCACATACCAGCACAATGTACTCCACGTCATCTCCGAGAAGGCCGGTGTCGTTCAGCGTGTATTTGGCTTTCTTGACCTGTGCGTCCACCGGCCCCTTTTCAATCTGGTGCTTTAGGGCCCTGAAGAGTTTGTAGAGCGGCTCTCCGGCGCTGTCCTGAACAAACAGCAGCACTTTAACACAAGCCTGTTGCTGCTTTCATTCCTTACCCACAGACACACACAAGCATTCCTCCTCACTCCACCTGAGGCGTGCAGAACTCACAGTTCAAGTGTGTCAGCGACTCAAGTGCTGATTCATGCAGATGAAGAACAGACGCTACTTCATTAAGCACTATTATCATCATCATCATCATCATCAGTCACACACATGAATATCAAAGCTTCACTGAAACACATCGTGGACAGAACTAAACCAAACCCTACAGGACCTTAAAATACTAATAAACCCATCTAATGTAATATGAAACTTAGACTTGATCATTAAATCCCGATGTATGGTTGAATGAAATATGAGTGAATCTTTATTATTGTGTGTCATGTTTGATATTTTACCTTCAGGTACTGATAGAGACAGATGGACATCCAGTTACTCAGCATCCTTTCCACCACCGTTTCAGACCTGCAAACACACACACACACACACACACACACTTACTAACTAATATTCAGTAAAATTAACATAAAAAAAAAAAAGAATAAATAATTTTATATAAAAACAATTTAAATAACATTTAATTTTACATAAAATTATAATTAAAAACAATTAATAAATAAAAATTGATAATTTAAAATAAAACGCTTAATAACTAACATTCACTAAACTTAAACTGGAGTTTGGATAATAAATTGGATTAATAAATTAAATCATAAAACTGTATTTTTATAGATACATAATCTTTCATTTACATTATATTTGCAGTATATAAATATATTATACATATTTACAATAAATTTGTAATAAATGTATATAATATAATCTGATATATAATAAATGATTATGATTTATTATGAATATAATCAATGATTTTTATTATATTAATTAGTTTTATTCCATTATTATATTGTTTTCGCTCATTTATTCAAACTGCTTTTTATTAATTCTACTGTAGGAAATTATATGAATGTACATTAGATATGTTTTTATCTAAAATTTAAATAACTATCATTCTCATCTTTTTGTTGTAGTAGCACCAAAAACAAAAAAAACATCTCCAGGGAATCACATACCAGCACAATGTACTCCACGTCATCTCCGAGAAGGCCGGTGTCGTTCAGCGTGTATTTGGCTTTCTTGACCTGTGCGTCCACCGGCCCCTTTTCAATCTGGTGCTTTAGGGCCCTGAAGAGTTTGTAGAGCGGCTCTCCGGCGCTGTCCTGAACAAACAGCAGCACTTTAACACAAGCCTGTTGCTGCTTTCATTCCTTACCCACAGACACACACAAGCATTCCTCCTCACTCCACCTGAGGCGTGCAGAACTCACAGTTCAAGTGTGTCAGCGACTCAAGTGCTGATTCATGCAGATGAAGAACAGACGCTACTTCATTAAGCACTATTATCATCATCATCATCATCAGTCACACACATGAATATCAAAGCTTCACTGAAACACATCATGGACAGAACTAAACCAAACCCTACAGGAACTTAAAATACTAATAAACCCATCTAATGTAATATGAAACTTAAGGTGAAGTGTGTAATACTTCCTGAAAGATGAAGCTTCCAGATCAAGATTTGACTTGATCATTAAATCCCGATGTATGGTTGAATGAAATATGAGTGAATCTTTATTATTGTGTGTCATGTTTGATATTTTACCTTCAGGTACTGATAGAGACAGATGGACATCCAGTTACTCAGCATCCTTTCCACCACCGTTTCAGACCTGCAAACACACACACACACACACACACACTTACTAACTAATATTCAGTAAAATTAACAATTTAATAAAAAAAAAGAATAAATAATTTTATATAAAAACAATTTAAATAATATATAATTTTACATAAAATTATAATTAAAAACAATTAATAAATAAAAATGGATAATTTTATAATAAAACGCTTAACTAACATTCACTAAAATTAAACTGGAGTTTGGATAATAAATGGATTAATAAATTGGATTAATAAATTAAATCATAAAACTGTATTTTAAAAATTTTTTATAATTAAGTTATACAAATACATAATTTCATTTTGAAAAATTAGCTATATGTTATATGTGTATTAAATTAATAAAAGAATTTAACACAATTAATAAAAACAATTTTAAATATTAAAACATTAATATTCACTAAAACAGTGTTTTCCAGTTGATAAAAAGCTAATAATTAATTACATCATAAAACTGTAAAATTATAAAAATGTTAAATTAATAATTAAATCATAAAAGTGAATAAATAATTTTATATAAAAATTATATATATTATATATTTATATATAGAATTTAAAACATTAAATAAAAAATAATAATAATAAAATTTAAGAAAAATTATATTTTTATATTAAAACACTTACACACACTTACTAATTAATATTTAATAAAACAGTGTTTCCCAAACTGGAGTTCATGAGTTGATGAAAAGCTAATAATTAGTTTATATTATATTATATTATATTGGGATAACATGGACACTTTTTCCTCTGCGAACCTCTTAATATTATTTTTTATTATAAAACTGCATCTCTGAAATCACATTTGAAGCTCATATCCAATCTGATCTGTCAGTTAAACACTATATTAACACGACAAGTCGCTAAACAGCCAACAGTCGGGCTAATGAACTAGACTTCATGATGGAATAATTGTTTATGATGATTATTATTAATAATAACCACAGTTATTTATTGAACACGGATGTTGCGGTTGCTGGCTGTTAATGAAAGCAACAAGCCACTTGAGGCAGTTATCTGAAGTGGTTTCTGCTTCAACAATGGCCCTTAACTGTGTTAAGATCAGTGTAACGCATGGCCTCCAGTGGCCTACTGCTTTAATCAACACTTCCACACTCATTTCTGACAATAACAAACAACAATAATTAGCATCAGCACCCAACTATGACAATCAAAGAAGCACGTGAACATGATGCTGGAGTGTGTGGTGCGTGTGGATGGGCTTTGTGTTTTTTTTATGTCAAGACAGATTTTGATTAACATGACATGTTTTATGTGACAATTGATTAAAAAATGGCATATGAGAAAGAGTTTACTGATGTTTGTATAAGCTCTCGCATAGCAAGAGTTTGGCTTTGTGGTCCATCCAAAATGAATAACCATCTATTTCACATTCATGCTTGCGGATGTTTGCTTTTCTTTAACTGCCTCAAACTAAAACTCTCAATATATTTAAATGATTCAATGCCATGAAATTCATAAACAAACTTCATATGGGAAATCTAGGGACTAGTTAGGCCTTGGGAGCCTTATAAGCGTGAATCTCATGAAAACCTGTCAAAAACATGCCCAGGTTATATCTCACCCCAAAATCAAAGCACAAGAAATAAAATATATTTTACACAAAGAAAAAAAAAGCATATTGTTAGAAGCATTTCAACTAGACAGGGCGGGACTTATCTAGCAGCCCCGCCCCCTTTTTTAAAGGGGACATCGGATGCCCATTTTCCACAAGTTGCTATGATTCTCTAGGGCAGTGGTCGCCAACCCATCGATTGCGACTGACTGGTAGATCTTTATCACTGTCCCAGTAGATCCCGAAAAAAAACAGTAAAATAAGTACAAAAATGCATTACATTTCTGGGGTTATATTAATGTATCACTGAAGGGAACTGTCTTGAGAAAAGTTTCGATGGCAATGTCATTTTCTTCTCCTCCGTATAAAGCACAACTCTGCTTTGTTTACAGCGGTAAACAAGGAAAGGCTATATTGCGGTCGGTTCATAAGCAGTGTTGCCAAGTCCGCGGTTTTACAGCAGAATTGGGCTACTTTTTTGCCGCGGGTTGTTGTTCATGTCCGCGGGTTGAAGCGATCCCAATAACGTGATAGTTAGTCCCTGGAATGTGAATTTTACTGGAAGATCCCCACCGAAAAACATGTATTTTACCCCCGGAATGCGATTTTTACAGGGGAACCCTCCTCAAAACCGATTGGACTAGTTTTATTGTGAAAACCTGGCAACCCTGTTCATTAGTGCCACCTGCTGTCAGAGAGTGCTTCTCATTCAGACCTGCTGTTTCGCGCAGATGTTATATGTAGCAAATAAATATCACCTAAAATCAGACCATTAAAAAAAGAAAGAAAGAAAAGCAAATCTGAATTCTGAATCAGCTATGATCGGCGCATCGCTAATTAAAGTACTAAGTAAAAGGCCTCAAATTTGAAGTACAATCTGGGATGTCTTTTTCTATGAATTCTTCAATAGGTAGATCTTGTCTTTCATAAAGGCCGAGGCCAGGGATCTTGGGCCTAAAAATGTTGGTGACCACTGCTCTAAAGAAACAGGATTCCCTAAATTATCGTCATTGATATCGTTATCGCAATAAATATCAGAAATTATCGTGATATATTTTAAAGCCCATATCGCCCATCCCTAGTTTGAAGTTCCCATGAAAGGGAACGTCTCAGGTTACTTATGTAACCATGGTTCCCTGAGTAGGGAACGAGACACTGCGTCCTCTACTCAGGGAACCATGGTTAAAAATTATATATATTATATATAAAATAAAATAATTTAAAACATTAAATAAAAAATAATAATAATAAAATTAAAGAAAAATTATATTTTTATATTAAAACACTTACACACACTTACTAATTAATATTTAATAAAACAGTGTTTCCCAAACTGGAGTTCATGAGTTGATGAAAAGCTAATAATTAGTTTATATTATATTATATTATATTGGGATAACATGGACACTTTTTCCTCTGCGAACCTCTTAATATTATTTTTTATTATAAAACTGCATCTCTGAAATCACATTTGAAGCTCATATCCAATCTGATCTGTCAGTTAAACACTATATTAACACGACAAGTCGCTAAACAGCTAACAGTCGGGCTAATGAACTAGACTTCATGATGGAATAATTGTTTATGATGATTATTATTAATAATAACCACAGTTATTTATTGAACACGGATGTTGCGGTTGCTGGCTGTTAATGAAAGCAACAAGCCACTTGAGGCAGTTATCTGAAGTGGTTTCTGCTTTTTATATAAAAATTATATATATTATATATAAAATAAAAGAATTTAAAACATTAAATAAAAAATAATAATAATAAAATTTAAGAAAAATTATATTTTTATATTAAAACACTTACACACACTTACTAATTAATATTTAATAAAACAGTGTTTCCCAAACTGGAGTTCATGAGTTGATGAAAAGCTAATAATTAGTTTATATTATATTATATTATATTGGGATAACATGGACACTTTTTCCTCTGCAAACCTCTTAATATTATTTTTTATTATAAAACTGCATCTCTGAAATCACATTTGAAGCTCATATCCAATCTGATCTGTCAGTTAAACACTATATTAACACGACAAGTCGCTAAACAGCCAACAGTCGGGCTAATGAACTAGACTTCATGATGGAATAATTGTTTATGATGATTATTATTAATAATAACCACAGTTATTTATTGAACACGGATGTTGCGGTTGCTGGCTGTTAATGAAAGCAACAAGCCACTTGAGGCAGTTATCTGAAGTGGTTTCTGCTTCAACAATGGCCCTTAACTGTGTTAAGATCAGTGTAACGCATGGCCTCCAGTGGCCTACTGCTTTAATCAACACTTCCACACTCATTTCTGACAATAACAAACAACAATAATTAGCATCAGCACCCAACTATGACAATCAAAGAAGCACGTGAACATGATGCTGGAGTGTGTGGTGCGTGTGGATGGGCTTTGTGTTTTTTTTATGTCAAGACAGATTTTGATTAACATGACATGTTTTATGTGACAATTGATTAAAAAATGGCATATGAGAAAGAGTTTACGGATGTTTGTATAAGCTCTCGCATAGCAAGAGTTTGGCTTTGTGGTCCATCCAAAATGAATAACCATCTATTTCACATTCATGCTTGCGGATGTTTGCTTTTCTTTAACTGCCTCAAACTAAAACTCTCAATATATTTAAATGATTCAATGCCATGAAATTCATAAACAAACTTCATATGGGAAATCTAGGGACTAGTTAGGCCTTGGGAGCCTTATAAGCGTGAATCTCATGAAAACCTGTCAAAAACATGCCCAGGTTATATCTCACCCCAAAATCAAAGCACAAGAAATAAAATATATTTTACACAAAGAAAAAAAAAGCATATTGTTAGAAGCATTTCAACTAGACAGGGCGGGACTTATCTAGCAGCCCCGCCCCCTTTTTTAAAGGGGACATCGGATGCCCATTTTCCACAAGTTGCTATGATTCTCTAGGGCAGTGGTCGCCAACCCATCGATTGCGACTGACTGGTAGATCTTTATCACTGTCCCAGTAGATCCCGAAAAAAAACAGTAAAATAAGTACAAAAATGCATTACATTTCTGGGGTTATATTAATGTATCACTGAAGGGAACTGTCTTGAGAAAAGTTTCGATGGCAATGTCATTTTCTTCTCCTCCGTATAAAGCACAACTCTGCTTTGTTTACAGCGGTAAACAAGGAAAGGCTATATTGCGGTCGGTTCATAAGCAGTGTTGCCAAGTCCGCGGTTTTACCGCAGAATTGGGCTACTTTTTTGCCGCGGGTTGTTGTTCATGTCCGCGGGTTGAAGCGATCCCAATAACGTGATAGTTAGTCCCTGGAATGTGAATTTTACTGGAAGATCCCCACCGAAAAACATGTATTTTACCCCCGGAATTTACAGCAGAATTGGGCTACTTTTTTGCCGCGGGTTGTTGTTCATGTCCGCGGGTTGAAGCGATCCCAATAACGTGATAGTTAGTCCCTGGAATGTGAATTTTACTGGAAGATCCCCACCGAAAAACATGTATTTTACCCCCGGAATGCAATTTTTACAGGGGAACCCTCCTCGAAACGCGATTGGACTAGTTTTATTGCGAAAACCTGGCAACCCTGTTCATAGGCACCACCTGCTGTCAGAGAGTGCGTCTCATTCAGACCTGCTGTTGTTGTTTCGTGCAGATGTTTTATGAAGCAAATAAATAAATAACACCTAAAGTCAGTCCATTCTGTTTTTATTTTAAATCCTGAAATTAATCTAAATCAAATAAAAAATAACTGCCCGTGCAGATGGTGATTAAAATGCAGTGGTTGCCTCTAATTTCAAATGGCTAGATATTTTTGTTTAAAGCCAGTTTGTTTGTTATAAAGCAAATAGCCAATAAATAAATTAGCTTTAAAATCAGTATCAGTATCCAATCTGCTAGTAAAAAAAAAAAAGAAAGACTCTGAATTCTGAATCAGCTATGACCGGCGCATCACTAATTAAAATACTAAGTAAA